ACACACACACATACTGTATATGTACACATACATAATGCAACACCAAGGAAGTAACGTTAGACTTAACAAAGCCTAATGTCTCCAAGCCCATGCTGAGATAACGCGGATGAGATCCACAGGGAAGATTTTCTCAAATGGTGGAGTGCCGGCATGAGAATAATTTCAGATTTGACTATAGATTTTAAAAATGTCCGATAGGGCCAATATAAATGATCATTTCTAATCATGAGTCATCACAATCCCTCTCCAAACTCTGTGATCCTGCTGCACCTTAGCAGTCTAGGCTGCATTTTACCAGTCTGTTGACTGAAGGCTGGTCACATAGCGGGAGGGTTTAATGTTGCTGTGGTGGTGCGATGATGCTGGAGAGGCTGTGTGCCAAACTGTTTTATGAACATCTACCCATTTTGTAAATTAATTAGTATTCTGAAACACCAAACACATACTGTCTCCAGTTCCAAACAAGGGTGCCAACAGTGCCAAAATAATCCTCTCCCACACAAGCATCCACAGAATATCAAAAAGACAATGAATGTTGCTTTGTCCATTCATACTCTGCGATAAATAAATTACCAATATAATGCCTTGTTTTAGTCTTGTGAAGAGTATGTTGTATTTACAATGCAAGTAGCCGGTCTACGGACAGAAACGAATACTGAATCTAACCATTTCTGACTGTCAACAGAAAATGTTGTCATGCTCAGGCTTACTCGTTGATCTTTTTGTCTCCTTGGTGAATTTGGTGCAGGTTGGAGCTGTCCAATAGTCCCTCCTGTTGGAGAATACAGGTGTCTCCATACAGACTCAGCTTCTGCAGGTTTCTAGAGAATGAAGAAGAGAGAATGTTAAAACACAGAAAAGAAACAAGAAGTTATATATACTAGATTCATCTAAATCACCTCAGCAATTTTTATATATATTTTTTATTTATTTATTTAACGCTCTCCTTTGAGCTGACCGACGGGTTACTGCTTAGACAGTTACCACGTAAGCAACATATTCAAAATACATTGAAAACAAATGGGCTGCTTTTGTCCTGTGTTGTCCACAGGTTTGAATGGGACATTCAAATTAAAAAAGCTAGTCATATAGCAATAACCTCAAAAGGATGGTTTCATTGTCATCTGTTTGCTCTGTCAACATTTGTTGAAGTCATGCTGCAAGTAGTGCATCTGGTTCTTCTTGTGCATTAATTCACTCAACAGAAGCAACAGTAGCTAGACTAAGGGGAGAGTTTTACCATCTTCAATCCAAGGAACCTCAGAGGGGGGGGGGCAGGGTTACCTCTGTAGCCATTTTGTGCCATCTAATCTAGGCCTAGATCTGTATATTGCTGGGTTGCCTCATATCATGACAGAATTATGGCTACCCTATGTTGCTTTGCTGCACTGCTTTATATCCTGGTTTCCCATTATTTTAAAAGGCAGTCAGTGTAAGCACAAACATGGTCACAGAGGTCACAATGCAAACAGACTGTCTACATCTGTTTTGACACTGATGTTTGGAAGATTACCGATGTAAGTTGTGGGAAAGGATTATCAACCACACGTGAGATGTGCAGCCACATAAGACATATGCCTATCTACAAGGTACGGTGTACATTGTGCTTCACGCAGCCCACTTCCTGTAAATCAGCTGAAAGCTAAGCTTCACAAAATTCCTCTGCAGTGAAACCACCAGCAGTCCCATGTGCAGCGACTTAGTGCGCCCTAATAAAGGAACAATGAGTTATCTATTCTTGTTATATTGAACATGTCCGGTACATGTTCAAAATAATGAGAATAACAGTGGAGTTAGATCAATGTTAACTTAATAAAAAACTGACTTTTCATCACCTGATAACATGAGAGCAAAAGTCTGACATGGCAGCTGGCATTGGTCTTGATCAGAGGTCAACTGGTTTGAATTGATAGAACTGGTGACTAGCAATAAAATAACAGCTGAGTATGGCATACTACATTATGACATACTGATAAAATACTCACTTGCCCAGTAAACATGTCATTGCTAGTTTGCTTCTGGTAGTCTGGAAATAAGACATTAAACCGGGCCTGCAGAAATGCGCTTTTTATTTAAGATCTGAATTCTGGATTCATACAACAATGTGCTACTCTACATGATGTATCTGATACTCATCGACATGACATGTTTAGTATAGAAGAAATAAACACACCTCTCTTCTACTGACTAGAAAACGCACTGTAATCTTGGTTAATTTCCAAATTCTGAGATGGCGGAAGCTTCCAATATTATCCACCAACACATTCAAAAATTAAGCAAACTCAGTACGCATAATGTCTGCGTGTACCCAATTCAGCCACCTTTCTAGTGTGAATACACTGCTAATCAAAACCATGTTAGAATGACTGTACAGCACAAAAGTAGTCAATGAGAAGGAGTCAGACAACAGAGAAGGTTTCAGCCCCCTCAGCAGAACGAAGACATGAAGTGCTCAGCTTTGGACGGGCGGCTATTTCAACACCACAAAGGACTGTAGAGAATAATGGAGAATGTGGGAGAAGGGATGATGGACACAAGTTCTGCAGTGGATTCAGGGATCTTAACATTCAAAGTAGTGTTTTACACAGAACAGTAACTTCCATGGCAGAAATGAGCCAAGTGGCGAGATCTTTTATGTATGCGGCAAATATTGGATTATCTCCTACATTATGCATCGACATGCCAGAGCTAAATGCATATACACATACACCGTATATGTGTGTGTCAGTGCTGATATCAGCAAGTCACAGCCAACAAAGCCTTCTCCAGCCACCACCGGTGCTGCATTGTATCTATTGGTATGAAGACCCCAATGTAACATAGAAAACAGAACTGGCAACAAAAGAAACGCAGACGAGCGTTTGACTTGGCGCTGACCCTGAAGCATACATCATATTTAACTACTGTATATGTAACACTAAGCCGTGAAATACTCTTATATCAACAGCATCTTCAGGAATATGAAGACAGCGTTAGCCACCAACTCCACTGCAAATACATGCCCCGATTACGTAACTCCTAATGTCATGTTTGTTTATAGCTAACTAAGCTAGCTAGCTGCTAGCTTACTGCGACGCACTAAATACTCACAAAATGACACAAAATGAGAGGGTGTCATGCCAAACCCTGAAATTGAATAAAAACAAACAACCAGAAAGAGATTTGGTAGCGCATTTAACGTCGACGTCACCTGTTGTTGCGGATGCTGGTGAAAACACACAACACCTGGTCCAAGTAGGTGGCCATGGCGTCTCTCCATCGCTCGGAGAGCTGCGGGTCGTTGTCGGGAGCGGGAGGCTGGTCCATCCTGGTGGAGGACGGGTCGCTGCTCAGAGGGCTAAGGTAACCTTCCACTGGTGCGAGTTCAAGCTGCAGCTCCCGCACGAAGGAACCAAACTTCCGCATGAGGAACTCCAGTTTCGGGGTCCCCTCGGAAGGGGAGCCGCCGCTGTTACAACCACCACCACCACCACCTATTCGCAGTTTAAGCTCGGTCCACAGCGCGGGGTAGAAGAGACACTCCCTCCATCGTGAACACACGGCCGAGGCCCGGAGCTTGTCTCGGTCGGACAGAAAGGAGAATATGTGGACGATAAGCTCGCTGGGTAAAGCCATGGCTCCAACACCCCCGCACAGAGCCATGGCGAGCTAAGAAAGCAGCTGTCAGAAAACCAACCAGATTTAAAATAAATGTTACAACCGTTTTTAAAACCTGGTGCAGCGGCGGTGGATATCAGCAGCGCTTCTTCCTCTCGGTGAAAACAAACCGTTTTTCAGCTTCGCCTTCAATACTATTGGGCCGCACCACTGCTTTTCAATGCACGGGGAACAAAACAATCCTCACAAATATTAAAAATATGTATGTAACGGTACACGTGCCAGTATTTGTGTCTGGTAAATGTATGGTTTTATTTATTTAACTATATTAAGGATTAGTGATACTGGGAAGATAAGATTTTTGGTAATCTGTGATTGCGTCACCTCGTTGTCAAGTAAGTGGTTTAGTCCTGAAGTGCTGTTATTTTTGCCATACTGCCGTATTCCACGAGGGGGCGATGTTTCTCGTCAGTCCAAAACCAACACGTGATCTTTATTTTGGAGCTGGTTCCCACCCCAGTTCACACCCCTCTCCAAAGAGAGATTACAGACAGTGGACAAAACCACCCTGCAACACAAAGTTACAGTGACAACAGTATGTTCAACAGTGAACACAAATACATTATACTTGTGCTAAAGAACTTGAACTTGTGAAGCATATCATTTTGTGTATAGCCTCATATATATATATATATATATACACACACACACACTGTTATGTGCACAGGCATGCAAACAGGCGATATACTGTGTATATAGTTATAGATACTATCATATAATATCGTATACACTACTACTGTGAATGTGAACCAGTAATGAGGTAAGTAAGGAGGGTGGAGCCAGTGCAATATGTATGTAGTGTACCAGTAAGCAGTGGTGAAAAGTACAATTTTGAGGTACTACTT